TTTTTACACTGATGAGTGACGACTCAGAACTGGTAATTATTCGTTTTTGTTTCTTCCTGCAGAATATGATGAGGAGAATCCGAAGATCATAACAAAATGTGAGCATCATTTTCACCTTGCGTGTATTTTTGAATGGATGGAAAGAAGCGACACTTGTCCAGTCTGTGATCAGGTTAGCCATAAACCTAACCAATACTCCGTAATAAGTAGTCTTTCCCTTTACACCCCCACCTCTTTTAAGAAAATTAATCAAGTTAGTTTCATTCAGGAAAACTTTCAAATTTTGAGAAAGTACAATGGTCATGAATTTCACCCCTGTTTTATTAAATTATGTCTTTAAACTTAATTTATCGTCTTTAACTTGTTTGTGATTCTTATTTGGAGAAGTAAATGAAAATTAGCATTCCAGTTACTGTTTTGTACCATCGATACCATACGGGGTATATATGTTTGTTTATATTGTTGCAGGAAATGGTTTTCAGTGCCTAAGTTGTGAGATATCAAGCTCAAACTTCATCCATTGGCATTTGATATAGAAGGGAGTTGTTTTTGGTGGTTGTTTATATTTCTGGGTTAGATTTTTTTTTTGTGACAACTGGCAGCCCTTTGCTTTGGCGTTGATATATCTTGTTTTATCAGTTCTTTAAACGAATTGAAAAAAAAATTAAAAAAGCTTACTGTAAAAAAAAATGAAAAGAAGAAAATGCTAATATATGGGTTTCAATGCAGCTGCTTTATGTATTTTTGCCTTGTTTGGGAACGTTTTCGATTAACATTAGTTTTTTTTTTTGAACAATATTTTAATGGTTCAAATTAATTAAAAAAAGGCTAAAGTGAAATACTGTCATAAGATTGTACTTCGTATTTTCAAAATGCCAAAACTAAATGTTAGCTATTGCCGAACGAGCCCTTAGTCGTAAATTATGTAGATATGTAGGATGTGGGCTGGTCTGTAGGTTCATGCGGGCTAAACTTAAATCATAAGCCCGTTCATAATATTTGGTGGCCTGGCTTGGTTATATGTAGTTGTCCATAATTGTTTTTATTTAAGGACGAGAAGGGCAGTCTAGGCCAACCAGGACCAGCTTATCCGAGTTTGGAGTTTGTGCGGGTATGTACTCTAACTCTAATCCATAACTCTTTATCACTTCGTGGTCGTTGCTTGTCGCTGCCCGTTAGAACTTGCCGTATTGCTGTGCCGCACCTTGCTCTGTTAGCGCATATCATGGTTTCGACATCTTTGCAGTTCTAATGTGAATGTCCTTGCATTTGTGATATGAGAATGGAAGGGGAAAAAAATAAGAAAAAGTAAAAATATAGATACTGAGAGCGTATTTGGTTCGGGGAAAATATTTCGCATGAAAGTTTTGATTTCATTCTCCTGCATTTTGTAATATTAGTCGAAGGAAAATAATTTTTTCAAATTGGAGAAAATAATTTTTGTTTGTTTTGGACCCTACCCCTATACCCCTTTCTCTCCTTTCCCACCCTCTACCGCCCTTCACCCCCTCCCCTACCACCCGCCACCTCTGGCCCCTTACGACCACCCAAAACCCCCTAGCTTGGCCCCATGTCACTTACCCTCATCCATCT